CAAAATCCAGTCAGTAATGAATCCAATAAAAGGCCATAGCTCATTAAATGATACAAGATACTGCACTTTTTTCCATTTCAAAAACATTTTTAATTGGTTTGGATAGAGTGTGGAAAGGTTAGGTCTCCTGGTTTCCTAATGGATTCCTCTATCCCAGAGATCCTGCGGGCAGCCTATACTGTAGAGGTCACCAACCTATAGTAGGTATGACTGGGCAGGCACGCACGCAACTCTGAAGTGCCGCCAACATAAGCTTTAATTGACAACTCACTAGGATGTCATTTAAGAAGTCTGGCCGCCTCTTCATCCACAAACCACCCACCTCTCTACTGTACTGATGTTCAGGTGCTGGCCTTCTTCCCAGTACAAGTGTATGCCTGCTGGTGGCTACGGAAAGCATAGCTAAGGTAAGCTAAGGTATGGAGGTGCAGGAATTGGGGCAGATATTAGGTCTGAAGGTGCAGGATCTGGGGCTGATCTGAGGTCTGAAGGTGCAGGAATTAGGGCTAATCTGGGTGGCTTAAAGGGTTATTAAAGCCTCAGCTTTTTTTTTGCATATATCAACAGGAATTGGGGTTAAAGGAGAACTATGAGGTGAGTGATTTTCACTCAACCTCACAGTTCGAGCCGACGCGTGACAATAAAACTGTCACACGTCGGCTCAATAGATCGGGAAGTGAGCGAACACATACCTTCGCTCGCTCACTTTTCGATCCTGTCCCTGAAGAGAGCCGTGACTGTCACTCACAGCTCCCTGCAGGGATTCCCCCGCTCCCCGCTCCGATCCTCTAGCGCTGACTGGAGGAACCAACGGGAGAGGGGGAGGGTACCGCTGGCTCTGCCTGTAGATAGGCAGAGCCAGCTGTCAATCACGCAGCTGGGTGGATCTCGACAGTAATGTCGGGATCCGCTCCGGCTGCGGTGGTCTCAGTATACTGCAATCTGTAGCTCGCGGTATACTGAGCTTTGGGTCATGGAAGGACGTTAGTTTATGTCCTCCCGTGACCCTGAGGAGAACTAGGGGGAAAAAACTTACCCCATAGTTCTCCTTTAATCTGAGGTGTGCAGGTGCAAGAATTGGAGCTATCTGAGGTTTGAAGGTGTATAAATTTGGGATTAATTTGGGGCCTGAAGGTGCATGAACTGGTGCTGATTTGGGGTTTAATGATGAAGGAATTGGAGCTGATCTGAGGTCTTAAGATGCAGGAATAGTGGTTAATCTGATGCCTGAAAGTGTTTGAATTGGGTCTAATCTGAGGTGTAAGGGTTCATATATTAGGGCTGATCTGAGGTCTGAGACATAAAACAGTTAAGCCGTGAAAATCATTGCAGGGATCACACTGACACTGTAAGTCCTGCTCAGTAAACATGAACATGTTTTGTTCATATAATAACCATTAATGGTTTTATTGTTCCATTAGTATTCCAACCTTGAGTGTAAAAATGGAAAACGATATGACTAAGGCACGCTATTGTTCACTGACTCAACTAATGCTTGTAAAGGGTTCTATTTATTAAGTTGGTTCCAAACTTTATCCACTCTATTTAAAAATATAAAAAACAGTTTGGATTTCTCCTTTAAATAAAGGCCTATGTATTGTATATCTGTATACTATAGAAGAACATGGGGAATTAAAGTACATCTATGGGCCTAAACTTTTTGTTAGTTTTGGATTGGGTGTGGAAGTTAGAACATCAGCCACGTTTTTATTGCTGTCTGTGACATCTCTGGGGAGATACACCCTCTCTCTGTGCCCTGGAGGCCTTTGTCACTAGAACAAAAAGTGACGGCGAATTCCTAATTTTACAGTTTCAACAGATCAGTCGGTGAGAGGAAGTCTTTCAATGGGATTGCCTTTTCCAGTAACAACTCTCCTTTCACTCTCAAGTGATTTAACCCCTTTGTGACTGGCGACGTACAGTGTACGTCGCCAGCATAGGGGCTGTTTAAACAGACTCCCGCCGGGACTCTGTTTAAACTTGTAAAGCCGACTGTCGGCTTTACAACAGAAGCGATTCTGGCGACTTACCTCTCGCCAGATCGCTTCTGTGTCCCGTAGAAGGGGCCGCCCCTCCCGCCGGACACCGCCGCCGTGCTTCCCGGGCTCCGTTGCCCCTCCTATGGGCCCGGCACAGGCTTCCTTGGTGTCCGCGGGGAGCTGGGGAGGAGGTCGACGAACTTCCGTTCATCGATCCCCTCCCCGTTCTATGGGACCGGGAGCGATGCAGATTGCATCACTTCCGGTCCCTGGGCTGTCAGTTCTGGGCTCCTGGAGCCCAGCTATAAGCTATTGATGTGAGATCTGCACTTCAATAGCTTATTTCCAGTGTAAAGGTGACACTGAGGGTCTTTTGGACCCCCAGCATTACCTTAAAGAGTACCTGTCACCACCATCTGCTATCACATGGGAGGGCTTGTAAGCCCCCCTATATGATAGCAGTCAAAATAAAGTTAAAAAAAAAGTTTTTTAAAATATAAAAAAAAAAAATCTAATAATAATTGTAAAAAAATTTGGGTATTTTGTTGTATTTTGGGGCATTTAATTAAATTTTTCACTAAATGTTGGGGTTTAATAAGGAGTTGCGCTAATATTGCGCAACATAAAAATTTGAAACTACCACCATTTTATTCTATAGGGTCTATAGGGTCTTTGGGGGTTTTAAGTCATTTTCAGGCCTAAAATGTGGAATATAACATGAGTGCAAAAAATGAAAAAAAGGCCTCAGTCATGAAGGGGTTAAATTTACTTCCTGTGCCTGGGAAAGAAAGTAAGGGGTTTTTTTTATCATTTCCTAGGGGTTTTCCATGATATACAAATATACATAGCGCATGGCAGACTTAACCCCTTAGGGACCCTTTCGCTGCCAATGCTTTTTTTTTTGTTTGTTTTTTGCATATGTAGCGCCCATCACCTTTTGTGATGTGGCTACTATGCATTTAGTGGTAGCCAGGGCTGTAGACAGCCTGGCTGGATTTGTAGTCGCAATTAGGAGACACTGTAATATGTGTACAGTACAGCAGCCAATTACTGGGCTTCACTCAGCCAGTGGTGCCTGTTGACAGAGTGTACATATATTGGGGGGAGCTGCCATGTGCTCTCTCTCTCTCTCTCTCGCCTGGATCAGCCATGGATTAGGGCTGGGTCCTGTTCAGCCTGCCCCCCAGGCTAGGCCGAGGCCTGGGGGTGGGCAGTGGCTGAAGTGAGGGAAGATGTTTCCCTGAGGCCTCCAACATGGAGGAGGCCTGAAAGATGGAGAGAAGAAAAGAACCAGGACCAGTACAGGCTCTTGAAGTGACCTGGATCTATGTGGACTTCAGAGCATGGTCAGTGTTTCTTTCCTGGATTGTGGAGCTGCATGGCTACTTTCACAAGATCCAGTGAGTCTGGAGCTGAGGATGATTACCCTAGACACCTAGAACCGCTATACCCTCTCTTCCACAGAAGATGTTCAATAAAATATTCAATTAGCATCATACTACTGAAGTGGACATCAATTTATGGGCTGCAGAAGAGGGCGGTTAGTGCTAATGGGCGCAGATGGAAATCAACCCCTAGACCGACTAGATGTGGACCGGTCAAACAGCGGCTCCCTGCGGGGAGATATCGCTACACACACATGTTATAATCCACATTTTAGGCCTGAAACCTCAAACCTCCAAACATGATATATTTCCTGAAAGCCAAAACCCTGTAGAATTAAATGGTGGCAGTTGCAAATTTTTATGTTGCACGATATTAGCGCAACTCTTTATCAAACCCAAACATTTTGTGAAAAATGCACTTAAGTAAAATTTAGTGCTCCAAAACACAATAGAATACCCATTCTTTTTTTTTGTAAAATATAAAAGATGAGGATTCTGATTAGTAAATAGATACCCAACATGCCCAGGTTAAAAATTGTGTGCGCATGTAAAACGGCGACAGAATTCAGTACCCTAAAAAGGCCATAAACTACGCTTTAAGAGCCCCTACGGCCCCTTTCACACTCAAATGCATGGCAATAGGGCTCTGTCCGTCGCTGACGCGTGTCGTGCGTCGCTACAGCAGGACCCTTTTTGGAGCGGATTTTGCCGCAATTCTAGCTTGCTCAATGCAAGCATTTGCACGATATCGCGCGACAAACGCGCAATATCACGCAAAATGCGAATCGCTCAGTGTGAATGGGGCCTAAAGGTCATCAGTTTAGAGATACGCATAAATATTAGCTCAGGCTAAAGTTTACACATCAAAGTCAATGAGGAACAGCAGTATCTACTTCCGCTCTCTTTTCTTTACAATAGAGGTGTCAGAGACACGGCAACTGAGAGAGACAACTTTTATTGTGCTCTGTTGTTTGAAAACCAATAGTGCTTTGGGAATCCTATGTCATGGGTGCACCCTGTATTAATTTTCTGCCAAAACAGGAATGGTATGTTTCAGTTTAAATGCACATAAACTTAAAGCATGGAAATCAAGCAACAGCTGGTGTGTTGGTGAGTATATTATTGTCTTGTTGTTTCCCATGTTAGAACAGACAACAATCTGTCTAATATAAGAGGGACTGCACACACAAGCCCCAGTGATTATTACTAATAAGGATTTGCTCTGGTCAAGACATTGGCCTTCAAATGGCACTGTTCCTTCTGTTAGCTAAGAATGTTAGCGCCATGGAAGCAAAAACAGAGAAGTGGCCCCATGGGATTTGTCGCCGCTATCACCAATGTGTTTTTAATACTAATTATATTCTAATAGAGGTGTGCGGGTGACTGTCATGTACATGTCTCTCTGGGACTGCTTTGCTGGTTCTTTCTGCTTTGTCTTTCAGGTTACAAGCTGCCTGCTGTTGCTAGGAAGATTTACCTCAGTTGCTGGACAGACCTTCAGTCAGCTGAGCACAGCATTGGTGACAGAGTTTTGGCGGGAAAACAGCTGACCAATGAGTGTACCCTTTTCTCTCTATAGTCACTCCTGTCAGTGGGCAGTGTCAGCATTTACCTCAGAACTGCCAGCTGGACTCACCTCTGGATTATCTTCATAATTCCTTTTCGATCTTTTCACCTGCTTACAGCCCAGAATGAATAATTTAAGTCAGCATTACTTCCATTCTCCTGATGGGTGGACCGGCTCAGACATTTTAACTATTCCTCTGCTGTTTTCACTAGCTACAGTTGCCTCTTCCATTCCATCTGTGGACCCTTCACCTGCATTTGTGTCTCCCAGTCCTGATGTGTCGGCGATACCCTGTGTACAGCATTGAAGCCTACCTGAGGTCAGCCGTGAAAACTCTTCATTTACCTTCAGGCGGTCAAGGATTTGTAGCGGGACCTTTGGGAGCAGCATTAGGACTGTCATCTGTGACAAGGGAGGATCTGAGCATTGCATTACTGCATGGTCAAGATAATTGTCTGCGAGGTCATCACTCTCCAAGAGACTGCCGGGCGGAGGATTGTGAGGCCAGACCAGAAGTGCCTGAGTGTCACATCACATCTGGGACTGGGCTGCCACTAGGACTTGTCAGGGACCAGGGGTGTAGGACCGCAAACCTGAAGTAACAGAACGACAGGGGGAGAAGCTACCAAGGAAGGCCAAGAAGGCCCAACTCTCCATCAGACGCCCACAGCGCCAGTGTTCCTGCCACAGTGAGCGGGGTAGGCAGCGGATCTCATGCTGCTATCCTGGCCTGATAGCCCGAGCGTCAGAGGAGTTGCCTCTCTCCAAGTAGACCCTGACTTCATCACAACAAAGGGGTGAGATGAGGTCTGAGGGCTGGGAATGTGTCCTGTCTTTACTGTCTGTTGCACTGGGTCATTCTCCCTCTGTGTCCATTATCCTCCCTATGTAAGGTGTAGTCTGTCAGTCAGCCTTTAGCCACCCCTTTCCCTTTACCCTCATGTCTCCAGTGCTTCTCTTTCATGTTAGTAACCTGTGAATTCTTGTTATTGTTTTTTCATTTGTTGTAGCTGTAGCTGGTGCTGTGATGTAATGGTTTGGACAGAAGTCCAGTATACGGATAGCATGGCCGGCCTTAGGCCTTTAGGCGCCCTGTGCGAGAAAGCTTTCCAGCGCCCCTCACTGACCACACTCCTCTGTGGCCACACCCATTTCTCCAATATCCGCACCATTTAAAGACTCCCATTTTGTTAATCCCCAAAGAAACATATTTAAAAGTATGATAAAAACAAAACATTTATTCAAAGCTATTAAACTTTTAGGCACAATATAAGTATTCTTATTAAATAAAACAACAGAAGGCAAACAAGTGGTAAACAATAAATGTCAAACTAAAATAGAGTCTATAAAAACAAAGTGACAGGTTGTAATGCCGACCCTTTTTTCAAGTAAGTGTAACTAGAAAAGTAAAAAACAGAACACAAAACCCAGACTACATGTAAAATGAATGAACTACTATTTGCCTGTATATATGAAAAATGTATTCAGCCACATAATAATTTGTTTGAGAATGTTGGCCACCGGCGCGTTCTGCGAATACGTGCCACCATCTTGGAGGCAGGGAACATGACGTCACATGACGCCATGCATGCGTGACGTCAGGTGACGTCACACGCCGATATAGGCGCCACCATCTTGGTGTATACCTAGCTATACACCAAGATGGCGGCACCCAACATGTGCGGTATCATATGATGTCATGTTATTCACTTTTTAATAATATTTTTGTAAATGTTTTATTATTTTATTTTTTTTATTTTTTTTTTCATTTTATTTTTTTACTGTTGGGGGGGCTTCTGGACAATATTAGGGGTCTAAACAGACACATGACATTTCCCTTTTAAAAAAGAAAAAGAAATTGAGGACACAGAGACCTCAATTTCTTTTTCTGCAGCCTCAGCACTCAATGAATGGGAAGCGCTCAGTACAGAGGCTTCCCATTCATTCAGAAACTGATGATAGTAAAATATTTACTATCAAGCAGTTTATGAATGGGGAGGAGCCTCTGTAGTGAGTGCTTCTCCCCATTCATAAAATCATGAATGAACAGGAAGTGATGTAAATCACATCCTGTTCATTCATAACTGGGGACACATAGTGCTATGTGTCCCCAGTTATTTACAAACACAAGACGATCACTCCAGTGTTTGCTCTGCACAGAGGATCGGTAAATATCAATTATATTTACCGATCCTCCGCCCGGCCACGCACAGAGCCGCTGTCATCCTGAAACTGACAGGATGACAGCGGCTGCGCTCTCTTCACCGCTCAGCCGTCCTGAAAGCTGCAGCTTCTCTTCTCCCGCCCGGCCATCCTGACAGCAGGCAGCGCTCCCCCCCGCAGTTTCTTTTCGGGATCCGTGGACAGCACTGAAGGGAGGGGGGCGCAGAGGAGGGAGTGATCTCATGTCGGATGGCCGAGCGGTGAGGAGTTGAGAAGCCGAAGGCTGTAGCGGCCCCAAGGGCGAGCTGTGTCGGCCGCCGGGCGCCCTTGTTGCCATGGCGCCCTGTGCGGCTGCACAGCTCGAACACCCCAAAGGCCGGCCCTGACGGATGGTCAGAGGTTGTAACAATTGTTAGGTGAAAATGTGTAGTTATTCTCGCCTTGCTTTATCGTAATGACTTTGGATTTGCCAAGACAGTGTAACATGAGAACCTTCCTAATCTATCCCATCAATCTGTATCCAGTCAGGCAGGCCCTTGCACTGAATAGTTAGTGGTAGAGAAGATTGTACAATCAGATTGTAATGTGTGTGTGAGTGTTAGGTAAATCTGGCTCAAGTTATTTGTAGGTCAGTTTTAGTACATGGTAGATGTTTTACAGTCATTCAGGAATGTGTTTCGCAATACTGCCTGAGATTTTCAGAGGTTGGCAGTGTACCCTCACATGACCTGGGGTTCCCAGATTAGTTATATGATCCCTTCTAGGGCTTCAGAGACCTGCCTTCTTACTGCTTCTCCGTGACGCTTCACAATTTCTAATCGTAGTCTATTGTTTTCAGAAATATGCTTTGCATTGTTTGGTAGAAAGTGTTTTCCAAAAGGCACTGAGTTCAGTGATCTTGGCAAAGTGCTGTCTGATGACCTATGTACCCAAACCGACCAATCAGTCAGCTTATATTAATGGCTTTTCTGAGGATGTTTTTTACTTCCTTTTTGTGAATAAATCATTTACAGGTTGTAAATTGTACAGTCTGTAGAATAGTGGCTTGTTGTTGTGTTTCTGACTTGTCAAAGACACAACTGCAGGGAGGATTGCTGGTCCTTTTCTGGTTTCTCTATTTGTTGATTTTCGGTTATCACTTCTAGGTAGACATGTGCGATTTGTTTCGTTCCGAATCGAAATTCGGACAAAATTTCGGAAATTCTGAGATTTGGATGTATCCGAATTCCCAATTACAGATATAATGCAAATGCAAATGAATCCGAATTTCCGATTCCAAAAGCGGTAGTCTGTACGAAATTTCGTTTGTTGGACGGAATTTCGTTGCAGCAAAGTGACATTTGAGAAAAAAACAACTTTTTTTCCCTCTTAAATGTCACTTTGCTGCAACGAACGCACGAAACGAAAACGAAACGAACTAGAAACAAAATTTTGTACAGATTACCGCTAACAAATTTCATCCAAATCCGAATTCCGAAACAAATTGACTTTCGGACCCGAATCCTGAAAAACGAAATAACGCAAAATCCGAAACGAAACGAAACTATTTTTTGCTGGTGCACATGTCTACTTCTAGGTGTCCCTCAAAAAAAAAAAAAAGTGTTGGGTTAATTCATGTTTTGTTATTTATGTCTTGCTGGTTTATTCTTGGTAGGATTCCTGTCTTGCATTTATCAGGATCTGTTTGTGCTTAGATTATTCAACCAATAGACCCAGATAGCCAGGGCTCGAAAAATCCACTCGTCCACTCGTCTGTGATAATAGGGGTCCGACGCTGTGGTGGGGGAAGCCTTTACAGAGGACAGCTGCTGTCGTCTGCAAAGGCTTTACCCACCCCCACCACAGCGTCGGGCCCCTATTCAGCCTTGGGCACCAAGCCAGCTGCTTGCTTTTAGGGCTTGTTCACATCGAAAGCGTGTGCGTTCCAGAGCGGTAGCTGCTAAAACGCACCACGATCACTGTGAATCTTCCCCCCGCGTTTTGGGGCGAGAGGGGGCGTGGCGGTGCATTTCATTCAATGCTTGCCCTATTTTTTGCGTTTGCAGTTAGGCCTTGTTCACCCCGAAAGCGTGTGCGTTCCAGAGCGGTAGCTGCTAAAACGCACCACGATCACTGTGAATCTTCCCCCCGCGTTTTGGGGCGAGAGGGGGCGTGGCGGTGCATTGTATTCAATAAAACCACTTCCACGCCCGCCCGCAGTACAATTGAACGCCTCGCAAAACTTTGCGTTGCATATTTTTTGTGTTTGCAGTGGAACGGAACGCTGGCAAAGTTTTGCGAGGCGTTCAATTGTACTGCGGGCGGGCGTGGAAGTGGTTTTATTGAATACAATGCACCGCCACGCCCCCTGACTGGGGGGTATTTATGCAGTTAAAGGAGAACTATGAGGTGAGTGCTTTTCACTCACCTCATAGTTCTAGCCGACCTGTGACAATGAGACTGTCACAGGTCGGCTCAGTAGATCGGGAAGTGAGCGAACACATACCCATTGATTCATTTAGGCCTTAGCTTTGCAAAATATTGGTTCACTTTTCTTGACTTTTTGCAGTAACTGCTGAGTTGGGAATGTATCAGGCCTGTATACGGTGTCTGGGTAGATGGGAGTCTGCTAGATTATATCCATCCTTCTATTTGCACTGTTGCATGTCTTCCTTTTGTTATTGGTTCAAAGAAAATGGTATAGTATACCTAGTCAGGCATTCATGTTTTCTGGGCTTGCCAGTAAGCCATAGGATGACCTGGTGCAGGGAATCTTGTTCTCCGGTGATGCATAATGGGTATGTTTTGGGGGAAGCTGGTTATTGAATATGCTATTTTGTTCTAAGTGAGGGTTCCACTCAACGTTGCTTTTGACCAAAATCTCGGTTGTTTTTGTCTGAACTGGTGCCAGAGTTGTTGTGGCTTTTTCTAAGCCTGGTCTTCATTTTTTAATAAGGTTACAATACAATGTTTATTGATTTGTGTGGCATTCTCTGCTCAGTGGCGGTGGTTCTTGCTTCGCCATTGTGGACTGGAGGGTGTAATTCAAGGTTTTTTCGTACCTTTTCTTAGACATTGGTATTACCATTTATCGGTGCTGGTTTGCAAAATATGATTGTCCAGACCGCGGTGGTGGGGCCACTTTGTGGGTGGACAGTGGTTGGTAAACAGTAATTTGGTTGGTGTAAGTTATTGCTGCTTGAGTCTTGATGACTAAGCATGCTGGTCTGTTAATGGTTAACAATGGTTCTGTTTGGTAATAAAGGTTAAAGTCTATTTATTGGTTAAATTGATTAAAACCCAATAGAGGGGCCGCGGCCTATAGTTATTCCACAATCGTTGTGTTTTACTTTATTTAAATTTATTGTATGGTATGATGGGTGTCAATGAGGTGTACCATCCCATGTCCTTGGTATTTGAACCCAATAACAGATCCCATCAGATTATCTCAGGGTGCAGAGCTCAAGAGCTGATAGGACATGGCCCAATGACTCGAGCATAGAACTACATTGGCTCCTTGCCATTAAGGAACACAGCCAAGGTAATTCCTAGAACCTACACTATGAGACATACAATGTCTACACAAGCATAACTGTGCACCATGCCACTCTTGATGCCTACTGTGCTATTTATATATTCCCATTATAGGAATATGAGAAGCATTAATGCCCACATCAGCACACAGGGGTTACTAAAACTTTAAGCATGCACAACAAAGAACAGCCATATTTTTTGGCAGACCATACAAACCTCAATATAGTTTTTGGTAACACTGAAGACTTCTCCCCTCTCAAGTATGGGTCTAAAGACTCTGAACTATACTTGAGTCTGACCCAGCTTTTTCTTTGTTGCCTTGTCTCTGCAGCCTCTTACCCCTCCCCTTTCTTCTGCATGATTTCACTGCTCCCCTCTTCTATGTGACTATGTCTCTGCAGCCTGTCACTGCTCCCCTCTCCTACCTGACTGTGTTTCCTATGTCACATTTCTATGATGATCTACAATCTCACGTTTAGTTTTGCTCATGTAGTCCATCCCGGGAGCGAGCTTGGAGCGGTGACTACTTTACAACACACACAGGGACCATGGGGAACAAAAGTAGCCCCCCTCCAGAAGGAAGGACAGTATCAGCACCAATTCAGAGATGATTGGAGGATCTACAGCTGAGTGATACACAAATAAGATACATTTTTGTCATTAGTTAGTTAGTGTGCCTCAATGTATTTTTAAGATTTACAGTCACATTAAAGATACCCCCACCTTCCCCAATGCTGCTTTAAGGGCTCACCTTGAGTGATACCTCTTGATCCGATTATCTTCTTCTTTACACTAGTTTTCAAGAGTCCCTCCAGCGCTGGTGCTGGTCTCTGATCCAGCGCAGACTCCTCAGGTCCCACAGTGTCTGTCCGACGTGCACGCTCATGACTGCGTGCATTCACCTCCACTGTGTCTGTCCTCTTCTCCCTTCCAATAATCTTTACTACGCATGCGCTTGCCCCATCATCCTGCATGGCCACTCGGTAATATCGGTGAGAGGAAGATTTCCTCCGACCGGCACTACCGTAGGGGAAGATAGAGCTGGCTTCCCAGGTAATCGGGAAGCTGGGCAGCGAGTAATGACCCGCCTCCCGGCTTCCTGATAGGCGGGGAAGGCGGCTGCATGCTCATTGGCTGGGAACCCGGCTTCCCAGCCAATCAGCATCTAGCCGGCCAAACAGCCAGCTCCTTGGTGATTGGCTGGGAAGCCAGTTTCCCAGCCAATCAGCATGGAGCCGGCTTCCCCGCCAATCAGGAAGCCTGGAGGCAGGTCATTACTCGCCACCCGGCTTCCTGATTACCCGGGAAGCCGGCTCTATCTTCCCCTATGAATATGCTATTTTGCATATAGGAAGCCTGGAGGCAGGTCATTACTCACCACCCGGCTTCCTGATTACCCGGGAAGCCGGCTCTATCTTCCCCTATGGCACTGTCCTCTGACCGGAAGTTCCAGTATCTGAGAAAGGTATCGGAGCATTTGGGCGAGCATCAGTATTTGGCACCGATACTGATACTAGTATCAATGCATCCCTAATTAAAATAAATAAAAAAGTAAATTTTTACTCGTCGCCAGGCTTCCTGATTGGCCGGGAAGCTGGCTCGATGCTGATTGGCTGGGAAGCCGGTTTCCTGGCCAATCACAATCGAGCCGGCATGTCATTACCCACCGTACGGCTTCCTGATTGCCAGGGAAGCCGGCTCCATGCCGGCGGAAGCAACGGTTGGTACTCA